GCACTTTTCCCTGCAACCGCAGGAAGTGCTACACCTGCCCCCATACCTCCTCCCTCACCCCCATCCCAGGCCCCAAGAAGACTTTCCACATCAAGCAGATGTTCACCTGCACATCCGCTGTTCCTGATGTGGCTGCCTCTACATTGTGGAAACCAAGCGGAGGCTAGGAGACCGCTTTGTGGAACACCTACGCCCGGTTAGTGACAAACGACTGCACCTCCCAGTCGCAAACCATTTCAACTCCCCCTCCCATTCCTCAGACGACATGTCCATCCTGGGCCTCCTGCAGTGCCACAACGATGCCACCCGAAGGTTGCAGGAACAGCAACTCATATTTCGCTTGGGAACCCTGCAGCCCAATGGTATCAATGTGGACTTCACAAGCTTCAAAATCTCCCCACCCCCGACCTCATCCCAAAACCAGCCCAGCTCATCACCGCCTCCTTGACCTGTCTGTCTTCTCTCCACCTATCTGCTCCTTTGTCCACCTTCCATCCGCCTCCCTGCCCCTCTCTCTCTCGATTTCAGAGTCCCCTTCCCTTCCCCTCCCCCATTTCTGAAGGAGGATCCAGACCCGAAACGTCAGCTTTCCTGCTGTGTTCATCTAGCTCTACACCTTGTTATCTCCGATTCTCCAGCATCGGCAGTTCCTACTATCTCGATTACCATCAGTTGTGTCTTACTAATGAGGGAGCAGCTTTATAATCTCGTAAGACTTTAGTAACCTTGCCTTTAATAAAAGCTAACAGAAACCATGGTTGAAAAGAGACTACACTTTAAATGGTTGATGTGTTCAGGGCCGATTTCACTCGGATGTGAGTGCTACAATGGGTCAAAAGAATCTTTATAAAATTCAGTTCTCTGTGAAGGGGTCCCAGTTTTTCTCTTAAAGATCTAGCCCTGGAATGCCCTCAGTGTGTCTGATTCTGGCTCACTGTTCATATTTAGTAGTTTAGTCTCTTCTGTGACCCAAGTTTATTGGGAATGTTGAGAATGCTTCTGTGTCTAAATTACCGGCACAATTTCAGATTTAATCAGCCAGCTAGCTTCAGCTGAAGTTCTAAGCACCAATCTTTCTTGCATGCATCGAGCCTTAATTTAAGCATAGGCAGAAGAACTGAATTCCAGAATTGAGTTAGTAGTGACTACTCCTGACATTTAAGGCCACATTTGAGAGTTTGGCCTCAAGGAGCCCTAGTAAAACTGGAGCAAATAGAAATTGGGAAAACACTGTGTTGTTGAGACACATACCAAGGACAAAGGAAAATAGTGGTGGTTGTTGGGCAGTCATCTCGGCTCCAGGACATCTCTGCAGGAATTCCCCTCTGTCGATGTTTTTAATCAACCTATACAAATATGTTATGACTGACCTCTGGAGGAGGTGGGACTTGAGCCTGAACCTCCTGACCCAGAGGTGGGGATGCTGCCACTTGCACCACAGTCTCTCAGTGTAGCATCTTAAGACCACCCATCTTCAGCTGCTTCAACAGTGATCTTCCCTCCATCATAAGGTCAGAAATGGGATGTGTGCTGATTGGTGCTGATCATTGCACATTCATAACTCCTCAGATACTGAAGCAGTTCATGTCCAAATGCAACAAGACCTGGACAACATCCAGTTTACGGCTCGCAAGTGGCAAGTTAAAATTGTGCCACACAATTACTATCAAAGAATTTTATCGACGGCATTATCATTTCTGAATCCCCTACCAAACTTTTGTGAGCTACCTTTGACCAGAAATTAAATTGGATTTGTCATACAAGTACTATGACTACAACAGCAGGCCAGAGGCTAGGAATCCCGCAGTGAGTAACTCAACATATGACTTGTGCCTTGTATACAGTTTTGACAAGTTGGAAGTGTGATGGAATACTTCTCCCCTGCTTGGGTGAGTGCAGCTTCAACAGCATTCAAAAAGCTCAATACAATCCAGGACAAAGCGCATCCACATACGTGCACTCTGATGCTCAGTAGCAGCAGTGTGTACCATTACAATATTTCATCAAGACTGATCAGACAGCACTTTCTGAACCCATGACCACCATCACATAGAAGGAAGGGCAACAGATACATGGAATATCACACCTGCAGGTTCCTCTTCAAAGCATCTACCATCCTGATTTGGCAATATGTTGCCATTCGTTCGTTGTTGAATTTAAAATCCTTGAACTATCTCCAAAATGGCATTGTAGATCTTCTATTGCAGTCTATTTGGTTTTAGTTCAAGAAGGCAGCTCATTATCCCCACCTTCTCAAGGGCAAATAGGAATGGGTAATAGCCCAGCCAGTGACATCCAACCTCCTGAATGAATTGAGTTAGAAAAGGAAACAGCTTCCCTGACCCCTGGCCTGACCCAGCTTCCCTGGCCAATTTCAGCTGCATTGAACAATCTTTACTTTCCAGGGCTGGTTATTAGCTCTTACCTTTTCCAAGGCCACAGAACCACCATTCCCTGGACTTCTGGTCCCTAACTGCCTGTAGTCTGCTAGCAGCAGCACATGCTGAGTGATGCTTACCTCTGTGTCAGCATCTCGGCATAAAACACAAATGGGTTGGTTAGCTCATGTGGCTGGACTGGTTTGTAATGCAGGGAGTCAACAGCACGTGTTCAATTCCTATACCAGCTGAAGTTACCATGAAGGTACTGCCTCCTCAATCTCGTTCCTTACCTGAGGCATGGTGACCCTTGGGTTAAACTCACGACGATCATCTCTGTCCAGTGAGAAAGTAGCCCTATGATCCTGTGGGACTCTAGTGACTTTACCTGTTAAAACACATTGAACCATCAGCTAGATATTCGCTGCAACACCAGCCCAGTTGGTCTTTAGAGGATGCATAAAAATGAAACAAGGCAGCTTTTGTTTTGATTGTTTCTTGTAAGTTGAGCAGCCCCCCACTTCATCTCCCTATCCCACTGCTTATCTAGATTAGAATAAAGTAGCTTTCTGAAATTTGGCTGTTTGTTGAACCTAAAGTAAAGGCTTCCATTTCAAATCTGATGTATAAATGTGTGCATCTAATTTAGGTTGACAAACAATGTAGGTATTTTTGAAATGTGTACATAAAAGATAAGCATTGCTTTCAATACCAAATTCAGACAGGAGGGATAAATCCTTGTTAGGGGCTGCATTCACAGGATTAAATACTATTAAATTCTAATATTTTTAAAAATAACTACTAGGTTTGAGTTTTAACACAGTGTGGAGCTGGAGGAACACAGCAGGCCAGGCAACATCAGAACAGCAGGAAAGCTGACGTTTCGGGTTGCCAAGTCACGGTGGTAGATGCTTTGAAGAGGAACCTGCAGGTGTGGTATTCCACATATCTGTTGCCCTTGCCTTCTGTGTGATGGTGGTCATGCGTTTGGAAAGCGCTGTCTGAGCAGTCTTGATGAAATTCTGAAGAAGTGTCCGGACCCAAAGCGTCAGCTTTCCTGCTCCTCTGCTGCCTGGCCCGCTGTGTTATCTCTGACTCCAGCATCGGCAGTTCTTACTGTCTCTAGGTTTGAGTTTTGTCTGTTAATGCACAAATTTAAGAATAGAACTAGCTTTTTTCTTAGGGTCATTAATATGTGGATTTCTCTTCCCCCAGAAAGCAGTGTGGAGGCTGGGCCATTAATTCGTCCTTGAACAAATTCAGACATTTCATAGACAAGGGAGTTTATAGAGGCAAATAAAATTGAGACTACAACCAGATCAACCACAATCTTGTTGAGTGTTAGACCAGGCTTGAGTTCAATAGAATGTATGCCTGCTCCCAAGTCGTGTGCAATGCCCTCAAGTATATAATCACTGTGTTCCTTTGCACACAAGTGCAAAGAGTGCATACCTCTTCTGAGTCAGAATTTCTTGGTACAAGTCTAATTCTGACAAGTTGAGCAGGCAAACTCAGCTGAATAGTACTGTGCAAATGTTTTGGATGCAGAATAATGAGGCTATGTCTGTTTTTTTCAAGTGGAAAGCGAAGATGTCAGTGACTGTTCCAACTGGAGTCTGTTTTTCACAAGCCGTCCAGCATTCCTCCTTTTAGCTAATGCTGTCAATGCACTTTCTCGTTGTTCAGTTTACTGTTCGTGGATTGTGTGTCCAATTTTAACTACTATATTTGCCTAATGATGACTGAAGTTCCCCCTTAAAAAATTATCCATTGATTTGGGATATTCTTGATGTAGGACAAGTGGATTTTTATTTTCTTTTGCTCCTTTACAGCTTCCTCCAGAATTAACTATAATGAAGTGTCTCTTTAACATATACAGATTAATGTTTAATGAATCGTTAAGAAAGGAAGAGGGAGATCCCCATAAATTGCAGCTTATGTATAACCAGTACACCCTAATTTTTTTTTGTGCAGGGACATCTGAGGTCCATGTGCGGCATTAACTTCCAAAACCAGAAATCAACATGTAGGCATGCTGATTGGTGTGCATGGAATATCGAAGTGGCTGCACAACTGTGCAACTTAAATGCATCTTTATTTACCCCTACGTTAAGTACATGAAGCCAAGCAGAAAATAATTCATAAAGATTCTGTATTTTGCAGAGTGATTTATTTCTAAAACACACTGTCTCTTGGAAAAATGCTGGCAATGAGTGTACAAAAACAGCAGTTGCTGGAAAAGCTCAGCAGGTTGAGCAGCATCTGAAGAGAAATCAGAGTTAACGTTTCAGGTCCGGTGACCCTTCCTCAGAGTCCAGACCCAAAATGTTAACTGATTTCACTTCACAGATGCTGCTAGACCTGCTGAGCTTTTTCAGTAGCTTCTGTTTTTGTTCCTGATTTATAGCATCTGCAGTTCTTTTGGTTTTTATTTGGCAATAAGGTTAGCCTTGTTGATTTTTTTCTTAAGAAAAGAGTGCTTATAATTAAAGATTGTATGCCTAGTTATAAATAATAGAAATGAATGTCAGGGGATTTCATGTGTATTGTTTTCTCATCATCTTGTTGCTTAGTTAGGAATGCATTCTTTTCTTCTTTTCCCTTTCATTCTCTTACTGTACAACTTGCACTGATGATAACCTAATTAAGACCACAGACTTGCCCCAAAATAAGCTTCATGTATTTGTTGCATTTTAAAGATCCTTTTTAGACATCTAGCTATTCTAAAAAGTGATCAGTTTTCTTAAATGCAAGAGTTGATGTAGTTTAGCAGCTCTGAAGTTCTGAAAATGAGTTCTATTGTTTCATAATCAAACATTATTTTTTGTACATTATCTTCAGGGTCCACACATCGCTTCAGTGACATTGGCTGCTTATGAATGTAACTCTGTGAATTTCCCGGAACCTCCATACCCAGATAAAATAATCTGTCCAGATGAGAAGTTGGAAGAGACAATCTCACTATGGGCCATTATTTCCAAAGTCAGGCTGGAGGCCTGCATGTGGGTAAGACTCCCATCATCTAATTTACTTCTCAATTTTATTGGTGTCTTGTATCAGTGTGTAATATTAAAATACACTCCTTTTTAAGGAAAAGTGTATAACTGGGGTAGGAGATTGGGGTGCAGGATTGGGTATATGACAAAAGAACAATGAGATTGGGTTAAGAGATTGGATTAGGGATTATGAAATTGGGGATGAGAGATTGGGGTAGGGGTATATGAAGTGCGGAATTCGAATTGGGGTGTTGGATAGGGGATAGTGGTTTGGAAGTAGACTTATGAAAACAGATGGAGAGTGGAAATAATTCGATGTGCTTTTTTGATCAAAGGGCCTGATAGACCCTTTGGATAGGAGGCTGCTCAGGTCCAGAGTATTGGAGGGGATCCAGAATAGCATAGGGAGGAATTTCTGCAGGACAGAGGAAGCTAACCTTTTGGGAGTGGGTACATTTAACTTTTTCTGTCTTTGCAGGGGGAGGCAATGTGTCAGTGAGCAAATTTCAGAATGCCTCAGAATGAAGTGATAACCCATTAGAACAGAAATGAGAGGAATTTCTTCAGCCAGAGGGTAGTAGAACTCATTGCCACAGAAGGCTGTGGAAGCCAAGTAATTGAATATATTTAAAACAGTGATAGTTAGGTTCTCCTGCATATTGTATTGTATGCAGGAGAAGGAGAAGGCAGGAGAATAGAATTGAAAAACACATCAGTTGAATGGCTGAGCACACTGGATGGGTTGAATTGCCTAATTCTGCTTCTGTATCATATGGGCAAAGTTGTGACAACCATGAATGTCTTAAACAAAATAATTCAAAAGCAATAAATTGGCTATTTAAATGAGTAATTGATTGAAATAACCTTTTCAATAAGTGCCAAGTAGTACAGCTTAACAATAAGACCAAGTTGTTTTTGGTTAAGAAAGCATGCTAGTGAGAAAAAAGATCAGCCCCAACTCATGATCACTGGGAAAGGGGATGGTGACTGGGGCTGAGCTAAGGGGTTAAGTTTAATGCTGATCTTGGGTTGTCTCCTGGTGGAGCCACTCCAAGCAGGCTTTAGCGTAATTCAAAGGAAAATGGTGGTCAGAAGTGAGTTGACTCTTAGCCTGCGGTTTCCTCCTTTCGCAGCCTGCTTCCTTCCATTGACTCAGTCTAGACTTCCTGCTGACTTGGGAAAGCAGCCAACATAAGCAAAGACCCCTCCCGCCCTGGTTGTACTGTCCTTCACCCTCCTCCATCGGGCAGAAGATACAAAAGTTTGAAAACGTACTAACAGATTCAAGAACAGCTTCTTCCCCACTAATCAGACTCATGAATGGACCTCTCAGATACATGGAGTTGATCTTTCTCTGCACCTTCTTTTGTTGTTGTACCATTATATTCTGCATTCTGTTCTGTTACCCTGCTGTACTTATGTGAGGAATGATTTGTCTGGTTAACTTGCAATACAATACTTTTTATTGATCTTGGTATGTGACAATAGTAAATCAAATCAGATATCTCCTTTCCCTCTCCCACACTTTTATTGCTTTACCTCTTTCTGTCTCTCCCTTTTTCTGTATATCCCTTGCAGCTTGCAACCTCCTGCCTGACCCCTCTAAATCTGTCTGTCTTATTTTGCCCCTTTTAAATCTAAGGAAATACATAATGGGGTTTGGCGCTCCAGAGTTTCCACCAGAATGAATTTTGCATGGAAATGAAAGTGGCCATGTTTTTCTTTCTGGAGAAACTTAAATGCTGTTTGGTAAAAGGCGATTTAACAAAAATGAAAGAATGCGTAGTGGGAGCAACCAGGTGGTCAGACTGTCATCTCTGTCTTCCTCACACCACTCACTGCCATGGTCTAATTTGCAGTTCATTCCGCCATCTGACTCTGATTGCATTCTCCTCGTGGTGCAATCATGTCCTTCGCCTCCTTGCCCCAAGCCAAAGTCTCCCTGAAAGCCGCCTAGTTGCAGACCTGGCCAGATTACTCACCTTCACAGCTCCATGCCTCTGGCTGCTTGCTGCTCCTCCAATGACAGAAGAGTTCTCCCTCACATTTGCTGCTGATAGGCTCCTTGGTAATTCCTGCAATAGCAGAGAAGCAAAAGAAAGGTCCCATGATTTGACGAACAGCTCCATGTAAAATCCATTACTAATACTTGTGTTTGAAACGTCACCTTCAAATTAAAATGAAAATTCTAAAAACAATAAACTTTGTCATTTCTTTTCCTGGTCAATGTCCTATACATGTAAGGCTATGTATTTAGCTATTGGAATCTCTTGAATGAACATTGGTGAGGCCACTTTTGGAACTGTGTACAGTTCTGGTCACCCTTCTATAGGAAGGATGTCGTTAAACTTGAGAGGGTGCAGAAAATATTTACAAGGATGTTGCTGGGACTGGAAGGTTTAATCTCTAGGGAGAGGCTGAATAGGCTGGGGCATTTTATTTTACCCCTGAAGTTTTGGAAACTGAGGGGTAAACTTGTAGATGTTTATAAAATCATGAGGTGTGAATAGCCAAGATAATTTTTTCCAGGATGGGGAAAGTCCAATGCTGGAGAACATAGGTTTAAAGTGAGAGGGAAAAGATTTAAAAAGGACCTGAAGGGTAACTTTTTCACAGAGGGTGGTGTGTGTATGGAATGAGCTGCGAGAGGAAATGGTGGAGGTGGATACAATTACAACATTTAAAAGGCATCCAGACTGGTACATGAATAGGAAGGGGTTTAAAGGGATATGGGCTAAATGCTGGCAAATGGGGCTAGGTCAGATTGGGATGACTGGTTGACACAGATGAATTGGACTGAAGAGTGTGTTTCCATACTGTGTGACTGTGACTTAGAAACTATAAATTCGTCTACTAGTCAAACAGAAAATAAATCGTACGAAATGCTCTGGAGGGGACTGTAGTTTGGGCAACATTTCATACATGAGACAAGTGGAAAATGGAGTATGGAATTGCTGTGTGGTTGAATTGGATAGGGAGAAGAGAGTGTCAAAGGGCTATGAGAAAATCTAGGATAGTGAGAAAAATGTTTGGAAAGCCTTTTCAAAGACCTAAGTGTTTGCAATGGGCTGAGTGGTCTCCTGTGATGTATGATTTAACATTTAATTAAAGAGTTGAAGGGCTGCTAGGAACCTTCGACACATTGCGGTTGTTTCTAGGTTTTCTCACTTCATATGCTATTTGATCTTGGCTGATGTCATGCTCGAGCTGCAAGTGTATTCTGTACCCTGTACAAGGCATGAAAGATTGGCTAGACTCCTGCCTTGTTGTACAGCAAACTCTGCTAGAAAAATCTGCATGTGTAAAGCTGTTGAAAATGATATCAAATTGGTTCTGTAGTAATGCATATTTGACAATACTGTCTCTCTTAAATTCAAATACAAAGAATGACCATTTGGGTGAGGTACTCTAGAAAAGACTTGGGATGAGAGAAAAAACTGAGACAAAAGAAAGTAGGGTTGTGGGGAGGTGGGAAATACTGTTACCTCGTTGATTGTGAATTGCATCTTGACCAATAGCAACAGTATCCAATACAAGAAGTGAACATTCTTTGCGTGTGAATTTAAATGGTGGGTATTGGCAGGCTACTTAACCATGCTGGCTGCTACAACTAAGGCTATTCCTGTCTGCATGCTTCCCTCAACCAAGGAATGTTTGAACTTTGAAAGTGCTGGAAATACGCAGCAAGAGTCAGTTTTGAAGAAGTCATTTTTGACTCAAGATATTAACTCTTTCTTTCCTCAGATGCTGCCAGGTTTGCTAATTATTTCCAGCGCTTTGTTTTTATTACAGATTCCCAGCATACACAATATTTTACTTTTAATATAAAAGCATAAACTCTAGTTGAAGTTTAGTTTTCTTGTTTGATGTGAATGAGATTAATACCACCAGCCCCACTAAGTTTGGGTAACTCTGCATAGGACATGGATCAAGTTTGGATCTAAATTTTTTTTTTTCCATATAGTTCAGGATGGATGAGATAATGTCCATTTTATGCTCGCTTTATTTTATGCATGTAAAAGATAGTGTATCATCATTCGAGGATGAGCAGGGGATGACCTGTAGTGTTCTGAGCAACATTCTTCTTTAACTGAACACAATCAAAAACGGATTTAGTTAAGACTAGTCTTTTTATTTATCCTTTCATAGGATGTCGGTGTAACTGGCTAGTTCAGCATTAATTCCCCATCCCTAACTGCCAATGTGAAGGTGATGGTGTTCCCATAAAACTGCTGTCCTTGTTCTTCCAGATGTTAATGGTTGTGGACTTGGACGGAGCTGTTGAGGGAGCCATGGAGAGTTTTTTTGATGCATTGTGTCAATGGTATACATTGCAGCAACTATGCAGGTTTTGGTGGAGAAAGTGGATAGTTAAGGTTTTGGCTGGGTTCTTAATCAAGTGGGTTACTTTGTCTTTTGGTGTTCAATTTTTTGACTGCATGGATGAGCACAGCTCAAAATACAAGTGGAGAGAATCCTATTCCATCACATTTGTAACTGTAGATGTCACTTACCACTTATCAGCCCAAGCCTGAATTTTGTCTACGTTCTGTCAATTTCTTGTTGCGTGTTGGCACAGATTGAATGAATGAATGAACAATTTTATTGTCACACATACCTAGAAAGGTACACTGAAAAGTGTTTTGTTGCCACAATCTGGTACCATTTTGAGTTGCCAAACGAGTAAAAAGAAATTACTTAAATACAGCCCATCTTCTTGGGCCTCGAACGTGGCCCCTGTGCTTCTGTAAGGTGTTCTGGCCCTCCAGGAGTCCCTGCTCCAGGTACAGCAGCAATGACACTGATGCCCCAGGAGGCCACGCCAGCACCTGCTAAGAGTCCCTGCTCCAGGTCTTTCGCAGCAAGGAATCCCCTTTCGAGGCACCACCTCTGCCAAGAAACCCCGCTCCAGGTCCACCGCCATCAGGAGTCCCCACTCCAAGCACTGTCGCTGCTGCCAGGAGACCCGATACATGCTGCAGCTGCTGCCACGCCATCATCGCTCCAGAC